TCTTCTTCTTCTTCATCATCATCTTCCTCATAACCTTTATACATGTCATCATCATTTGGGAATGCTTCTCGTATTTTGTTGTATACACAGCATGGAAGAGGAAGGCGTTTGGCTGCCCCAACATATCCCCATACAAGCCTTACAAATTGTCTGTATGCGACAGACCTAAAATACCTGTAGAAGGTAGAAAAAAACAATTAAGGTCAATTAAAATTAATACCTTAAATATCATGTGTGTGAAAGTAAGCTTACATGATACCAAAAATTGGCTATTAGCTGGTAAAACAATCGTTGATACGATGTGTTATTACCTTGATTATCATCAGTTACCTTACAACTGTACTTGTAGAAGAAAAAAGAGAACAATTGACACTTCACTTACTCAGAATTGGCAGGGTTTCCTCTTCCTAATGCTGCAGTATATGATTTTTTGCCTTTTGTCGTAAGACCAATCCCTGCAACCTCGAGAACCCACTGGTCCAGGCAAACACTACTGAAGGCTTCATGGTCTGTAATGCATTCCTCCTCTTGATCGATTTCTTGCATTTTTTCTCTACATCTATCGTACTGCATACAACACCGACATTCCTCATGTTTCACAATATGTTGTAAGGAACATTTGCTACACTTGCACCTACAAGAATATGATTGTTTTCAAGTCAAATAATGTAATAACTATGATAATGCATACATGTGCATCACACAATTAGCGAACGCGTACTTACCAGTCAAGAACCTCGACTTCGCCGGCAAAACGTCTCAAAAGTGTCTCCTCTTCTTCATTTTCGCGTTCTATTTCCAATGAGTATTCTTCTACTTCTTGTTCATTTGCTATGGGATCTAATTCCGCATCGTATTCGTCGAAATCTGCCTCAAACATCATCACAAATCTGAAGTAATCAAGTAAGCTCGAGCAATGTGTTGAGTAACTGACGTCACGGGTCAGCGTAATATCGCAGGCTCATAGGAACACTCGGTAGCAATGGCGGACGCCAAATTCGCGTTTTTATGTCTAAATTTGAGGCACTTGTCGTTCACAGAAATAAAAAAGGCTTGGGCCAGCAAAATTTARGTCTTCATAGTTTCTGAAAATGTAAAAATTATTCTAAAAACGAGACACCGAATTTCGTCGTAGTGGCACTTTAAGTGAACTCTATAAACTTCCATGGACTACAGTGTATCTGCTGCGCTGTCAACTTCTTCATTTTGATAACGAACTCAGTACTATTGAAAAAGTTCAGATCATTCTGTCGGACAAGCTCAGTCAAGTTCAAAGTCCTCATGTTCCAATACATTGCCCTGAAGAGTTTCTAAGAAAAGAAGAAGAACCTATGGAACTCGATGTAAAATTTTGTGATGTAATGCAGTCATGAATATGTATATATGTTTTTATGATATATAGCAATAAAGTCTTTTATACCTCATCATTATCTATCTGTCCTTGCTGTAGTCAACATGGGTTCTTTTTGCTCCTTGTTCAATAGGATGTACTTTAAAATACTGAGATCCGTAGCTCGCAAGATTAATTTTAAGATCAATTGGTCGTACATGGTTCGAGAATTCAATCGAGATATTTCTTCTAAAAACAGAGTAGAAGCTCTCACACTTATTTTTGCTCAAGTCAACACAAAGTATAACATGGGAAGGTTATTGGTGTGCCTACGATTTGCAGAGGAACTACGACTCACCGAGAGGGAATGGGAACAACTTTTTCAGTACCTCTTTTAACAGACCACACTCTCGACTTTGATCATTTCTCCTCCTACCTTCTAGCTGTGCGGATAGAGGATGGGTTGTCTTCCACCATCTTACCAAATTGGTTTGGACCGAATCTTCAACCGAGTTCGTTGCATACTGGCCTGCTGTGGGGGTCAGATTATAGTAGAAAACTCGGAATTTACTGATGGAGGACGAGCTGCATAAAATCTACTACGATCTCGAAAACGGCGCAAGTTTTTCGGGTGTGGATGCCCTTTACCGTGCTTTAAAACAAAAAGGGTTCAAGAAAGTAACCCATAAACAAATCGAAGATTGGCTCCAAAAACAAGAAACCTATTCCGTTCATAAGCCCGTATGCCACAGATTTCCAAGAAACAGAGTGATTGTCAGCGGAAAAGATGATCAATTTCAAGCCGACTTGGTAGATTTGAGGTCTTTGAGTCGATTCAACAAAGGATACATGTATTGGTTGACCTGCATCGATGTTTTGAGTAAATACGGTTGGGCCATTCCTTTAAAGACAAAGACTGGACGAGAGATAACAGACGCTTTTGCCAAAATCTTGAAATCTGGAAGAAAACCCAAGAAGTTGCAAACGGATAAAGGAACTGAACTTTTAAACCAGATTTTTCAGAATTATTTGAAAAAACAAGGCATCCATTTCTTCACTACTCATTCAGAGACGAAATGTGGGACGGTAGAACGTTTTAATCGTACAATAAAGACAAAACTCTACAAGTATTTCACCTACAAGAACACACATAAGTACCTTGACATCCTTCCTGATCTACTCAAATCGTACAACCGAAGTTTTCATCGAAGTATTCGAATGAAACCCATCGAAGTCACGAAAAAGAATGAAAATGCGGTATGGCATACCTTGTATGGAACATCAATAGCCGCTCCCGTGCGTTTTCGATTTCAAGTCGGGGATCAAGTGAGAATCACTTGATCAAGTGAGAATCAGTAAAGAAAATATTTGACAAAGGATATAAAGCCAATTGGAGTATCGAAATATTTACTGTTACAGAGCGAATTCCGAGAAATCCACCTGTCTATCGTCTGRAGGATCAACAGGGAGAAATGATTGAAGGAGTATTTTATGAACCAGAACTTCAGAAAATAGAAAAAGAAGATGATGTGTATCAGATAGAAAAGGTCTTGAARTGACATAAACTCAAGGGTGGAGTCGCTGAGGTGAGTCGTTGAGAAGTTCAATTCCTGGATCCCAGCAAACCAAGTTCAAAAATTGTAATCCCTTTGAATTAACCAATAAACATTCTTTAAACTCATTTGTCTTGTTTCTATATAATGCTAGAGCAATACTTGCGCGCCTTCATATCACACCAATCGTCGTTATGGATAACACTCAGTTTTACCTCTGGCTCCCCTCCAATAGCAGCATGGATGTTTTCCCTTCCAATACCTTATCGGAATTTAGAGTTCGCCTACCGCAAACCATTACCCTCACTGATGAATGGGAGGTGGCTTTAACCGAAATTCATTACCCCCATAGCTGGAATAATGAGCGTGGACATTTTTGGAATCGGTTTTATATCAAACAAGGAGATGATATCAAAGTCTATATTGTCCGCCAAGGTCATTACTCTTCAGTGCAGAACATTGTGGACGCCATGAACAATCTAATCGACAACACAAGGCATAAAGATAAAGTGAAGTTTTCTTACGACACACTAACTCGAAAAATAACGATTCGTCTGCAAGATRRCCGTTCAATCTTTTTCAGCGATATTGGAACTACGCTCGGATTCACAAACGAAAAATTTATCTCCGAGACTACCACCGCCTCACGAGAAGTGGATTTGGACTTGGGCTTTCATAACCTCTATGTCTACTGTGATATCGTTCAATCTCAAGTCGTTGGGGACTCCCATGTACCCTTACTGAGAATCGTCCCTGTAGAGGGAAGAGATGGGGAACGTGTGAGCAAGATATTTCTGAACCYGCAGTATCTACCGGTCAGCAGAAAACAATTCGAAAGTATCGAGGTCAATATTAAGCGCGACACAGGTAAAAAAGTCTCATTTGAAACTGGAAGAGTGTTGTTAACACTTCATCTCCGCAGAGCCTCACCGTACTTTCATTAAAGAGTAAAGATGCCTCATCCACATTCGGAACATTACAAGAATTACTACCTTGAACAAGTTCAACAGAAAGGAGGTAATCTCCCTGCCTTTCGCGGTGCTACGGTTCAACAGGGTTATGGGTTAAGAGGTCTTTATCGATGGGCAGTTCCCCAATTATCTTCCGGTATGAAAGCTGTAGGCGGTGAAGCCTTGAGAGGAGGTCTGAATGTAGCTCAAGATGTCTTAGAAGGTCAAGATTTGGAGGATTGTACAATGAAGAGAGTCAACGAAGCCGGAAAGAGATTAACGAATACCCAGAATGCCTCGGGAGCGCAAACAGGTGCCGGTCAAAAAGGTAGAAAAAGAAAGACCCCAGCTAAAAACGCCAGTTCACCTCCAGCCAAGAAGCAGAGAACATCAAAAGCGAAAAAGAGGCCGTACAACTTCTTCCAATAATAATGGCTCACCCGACTCGATCTCWGCATTGCAGTAAATCRGAGTTGGATTTATTCCTGGCTCCGAGTGTGCAGACTAACATTGAACGAGGACAGTGGATTGAATATTTTCCTGTCTCAAACATTACCGATTCTGGTCCTATCGAATTTAACGTCTCAGGCAGTGGAGATGAGTTTWCCGACTTGAGACAAGCTTGGGTGTATAACAAAGTAAAGATTACCAAAGCTAATGGAGCCGATCTAGCCGACGACGATAAAGTGGGACCCGTCAATCTCTTCCAACAGRCCATGTTCAGTCAAGTGGATTTGACTATCAACGATAAAATGATATCAACGTCTACCAACACCAACCCTTATCGAGCTATGATCACCACCCTCATGACTTATGGATCTGATGCTAAGACCTCTCAACTTGGAGCAGAACTCTTTGTAAAAGATACGCCAGGGAAAATGGATGCTGTGGATCCTTTAGCTCTAGCTGCTAATCGAAATCATGGTTTACATGCCCGATACAATCACATCAAGGGGAGTTCTCCCTTTGAACTCATGGGACCTTTACATCTAGATCTGTTTTGTCAAGACCGGTTACTGCTCAACGGTGTGACGCTACGTATCAGACTCAATAGAAGCAAGAACAGTTTTTGTCTCGTCTCTTCAGAAGCGGATGCCAATTATAAGCKKGTTATCTTACAGTCCACGTTGTATATCCGTAAAGTAAAGATTTACGACGATCCTTTCCTGGGTATTGCTGCTGCTTTAGAACAGGCACCTGCCCTCTACGCCATTSGAAGAGTTGAATGCAAAGCCATGTCCATTTCTACGGGTCAAATGTCTTTCTCCCCCGACGATGTCTTCTTAGGATCTATTCCTAAACGGATCATTCTGGGCTTGGTAGAAAACACAGCCTTTAACGGTTCATTCAACAGAAACCCTTTCAATTTCCAACACTTCAAAGCAACTCAAGTTGGAGTCTACGTCAATGGTGAAAGTTACCCCATGAAGGCTTTGCAACTCAATTTTGATCAAAACTTGTACCTCCCAGGATACATGAGCTTGTTTTCTGGTACGGGAAGTCTGTTTCATAACCAAGGCAATCAGATCAGTTGCTAGAATTACCCCAACGGATATACACTGTTCGCCTTTGATTTGAGCCCCSATCTTTCCGCTGGACCTCACATTTCCCCTATAAAGTAAGGCAACCTTCGCATCGGCATTCAGTTTGCAGAACCCTTACCTGTGACAGTCAACTGCATCATCTACGCCGAGTTTGATTCTTTGATTGAGATTGATGAGAATCGAAACGTGACTTTTAACTGGTCTAGTTAAACATGAACACCAGACAGATTGCTGTAGTATTGAAAAGGGATCCCATCACCAACCCTATCTTTCAAGGAGTTTTCCCGTCAGACCAACTGCCGAACAAGATCAAGCATTACCCAGCCGCCTTTGTAGCCAACGTCGACCCTAAAGGCCGCCCCGGTTCTCATTGGTGTGCGTTTTATTTCACTCAAGATAAAGAGGGAGAATTTTTTGATTCCTATGGATTGAAGCCTCAAGAGTACAGTCAACATTTTCTCGAGTTTCTAGAAAGGAATAGTCATCATTGGACTTATAATCACCAAGACCTTCAAAGTCTAAATTCTAATGTGTGTGGACATTATTGCTTGTATTATGTAATCAATCGTTGTCGTAACGTATCCATGAAAACTATTGTAAACCGCTTTGGTAAAAATACAAGGAAAAACGATCGCTTAGTGTATTATTTTATCACTAAATATTTTGGATACTTATACAAATATCTTAGGAAAAGGCTTGTCAAACAYCAAAGTTCCAGACAAAAATCAATAAACACCATGTAATGATCAAACTGGTATTATTTTATTCTTGAATTTCCTAGTACAAATAATTACTGCTTAAGACACGTTGAGCCATCGTTGACGCATTCGTTTCTTAGGGTTACGCGTAGCACTTCGTATAGGACCTTTTACGGTTTTTCTTCCCGTCAGGGGTGGGGTAGGGGTAATCCATTGGTCGTCATGTTCTGGTAGAGGGTTGGGCCTTGCTTTAAACTCTCTGAGAGCGGTTCTTCTCCTTTCATTTCTGACCAGATCTTCCGGAGCATTCATCTTGGCAAGTCCTTTAGCAAACGTTTCCCATCCAAGAGGGTCAAACCCTTTGCGCGCTCGTAAAAAATCCCCGACTAGATCTCCAATGTGTGAACCAGACAAGGGTTTATCTTCGTAAATCAACTGGCCACTACGATCCCACTTCATGATGTTAGGRTGTTCACGAATCTTGTCGATTAAGAGTTTCCCCCTTCCTTTCAGGGTCTTTGGTAAACCCCTTAAAATGTCTCGTTCGATCTTATCTTCTTCTTCTCCTTGCTCTTGTGGCTCTGGGGAGGGTTTCTCTTGTTCTTTCACTTCACTTGGAATCGGAGAATCCAGTTTCACCTTCAAGGGATGATCTTTTCGCTGATTGTAATACGTCAAGTAATTTTGTAAATTCTGAACATATTCACGTACTTTTTCTTCATCAGTCAAGTCTTTGCTTTTCAGAACATCTTGAATATCATGATCCAAATCCTTGAGTCTGGAAGTCAAAGGCGTGGTGTTGACTTTTTGTCTTTGTTGCAATCTCTCCAAGGTCTGTTCTGGAACAAGCACCATCTTCCTTGCATGATTCATTTTACAAAAATTGTTCCAAGACAGTTAAGGCAGGTGGGAGTAATACAGATAGAAAATTACCTCCTTTCTGGACCAAAACCTTTCGTTTCTCTGGTAACGCTAATTCTTTATCCACTAATTTCAGCAAAGGAGTTTTAAACTCGATCAATTTAGTTTTTTCCTTGGGAGTGATAGGTACTGTAGATCTTAACACGTTGTGTACACACTCGCAAAGAGTTTGGATTAACGAATCGTCGGCTTCTTTCAGGAGAGCTTTCACTTGGTTAGGTTTACTGGTAGACAACACCTTCAAGTGATGGTAGTTGTTTCTCGCACGGCGACTCATGATCAACTGAATAAAGTTCCTTGTGTGCTGATCTTTTTAACCCTTCTTGACGTAAGCATATTGAGTCTCGTTTGGAAAGATACTGGTTCTCAATCGAAAATCCTCTAGGGTCTGGGGTTTTAGATCACAGAATAAGTACCCATGAGGCCTTGCAGTGGCATCATTGAAAGCTTCTTGCATATATTTGACGTGACCTGGATGCATTTGTTTGGCTAGATGATTGATTTGACTGCTATCTCTGGGTGATTTAAACAGAACCATGTAGTGAGCATTCAAGCTGATGTTTCTCAATTCTTTTCCTTGATGGAATATATTTTGTAAGATAAAGATGCAGGACAAATTCTTGTGGTGACAGCCTTTGATGAAAATGTTCGTCAAACGTTTATCATTACTCACTTCGTTCATCAAATCATCAATGATGACTAAATTACGAACAGAAGGRTCGATTTGGGATTCCAGGTCGTGGGGTAATCCTTCAATAAAATTTATATTGGGGATAGTTTGCATCATTTCTTCATAAACAGGTTGATCCATTCCATAACACCATAAGATATTTTGTGGAGGGCCATCAATCATTGATTCGGAATTTTCCAACAACCGTTTTACAAACTGTGTTTTTCCACAACATGTCGGACTGGCTACAAGAGCACCAAATGRATGTTTCAATCTTGGATCCATCTTGGTGAATGAAACATTCAGTTCAACAAAATACTTTTTAAGTCTTATTTTGACTGTGGAATAAGCCAATCATCTTTTGATGCATTATATTCTCGAATGACTTTATATTTTTCTAATTTGGCCTCTTGCAAATAAGGTTTTCWCTCTTCTACTGATAAAGTATGAACTTGAGCTAAATGATTCGATAATTTCACCAAATACTTCGATCCACAATTCAGTACAGGACAATTCCTACACTGACGCTTTGGCATGATGTTCACTCCACGAAAGTTTAGGCACAACTAAAATTTTTATCGCAATTGCACACAAATTTAACTTGAAATCGGGGGACAAGAGGGAAGAGAGGGAAGTAAGGGACATAACGAGAGACACATGTTTTCACTTCCAAACTCTATTTATTGGAAATTTGTATATTATTTACATTACCCTTATCCTATATCAAGAAGACAGTATTCTATTTATAATATTATCAAAATATACGTTCTTCATATTATTTACAAAATTTAACGATCTTAAGTTAATCTTTTTCGTTATTTTATTACATTAAACGTATATTCGAATGATTTTGACTAAAAAACGAGGGACAAGGGGGAAGAGAGGGAAGAAAGGTACATTGAGAGAGAGGTGTGTTCACTTCCAAACTCTATTAATAAAAAAAAATCTTTGTACATTACTATTTGCAATAACTAGTTTACCTAGTTTCTACCATACTTTTCTTTGTTAATGTCATTAATCTTCTTGTTCACCCCTTTGCAACTATACTTATCTTTTTYCCCTCCAAAACAATAATAAGTCTTGGAACTCAGACAAATTATCCCATCCCCAGACCACTCTTCCTTAAACAAACCAGGGGTTCTCTTGTCATAAGCCCGGTTCTCCGCAGTATCAGTACGCGGGAACCAGTTTCGAATTCCGCTCGCATCTCAGGTCTAACCAAACCTTCAACACTATCCCTAGAAAACGCAATATAGGCCGAATCAGTATCCATCTCGCAATACTGGAAATCAGACCTATCTAAATACTTGTCAATGCAATCGTAATAAAACTCTAGCATTCTTAGCTTGGCGTATTGATATACAAAGAAGCCGATCTGCATCGGGAGATTCAAACTTATCCTCTTCTTGGCCGACTGAATCTCGTAGGTATTTTCATTGATGACTTCTAGCTGACGGAAAAACGAGCTGTTGACCAACCGCGAGGTCTTGGTCTCATCACAGAACTTGACTTCTCTGTGTCGCTCTTGGTCTGTGATGGTCTTGCCATAACTAGAATTTCCCACCTGACAATAGAGAATGAAAACAAAATTAATCATGTGTAAGATGCAGATTCGTGATTTTTAAAGATTAAACAACGTACCAGTTTCATGGTATCCGCAATGATGGCTTTACTAGGATCGACATCCCCGGCTCTTCTTGCGTTGGATACCGCTTCTCCAAAGGGTTTGAAGCATGGGCTAGGAGTATATTCCACGATCTGGTAGATCTTAGTTACTTCTAACCCATGTTCCAAATACCATTTCAGCAAGGGAGTAGCGAGCAAGATCTTTTCACCAAAGTAGCTCCCGATCAGGCTTCTGCGCGGACGAGGCATGATTTTGTGTTCCTCAGCAAATCCTCTCATGTAATCTCCGATATCTTCACGACTGATCTCTGTATTCTTGAATATCGGGCACATTTCGCTGAACTTTTCTTTCAAGTGATCTGGAACAAAGATGTCACACTCTACGACTCCAAATAACTTCCCGTCGAGAACAGCTTGAAGAATCTGGTCTTTGTTGAGGGTCTTGTACTTGTCCATGGGTCTTTGGAACTTGGTACTCAAGAACTCTTTGACAGCAGGGTGACAGCAGGGTGACAGCAGGGTTGGTTTTCTTTGTCGCTCTCCACGCGCACTCCCACATCTCGATGACCTGGTACCCCTCGCTACGGATGTACTCAGTATTTACTCTCGTCTCTTCTCTCAACTCGGCCATAGGTTTCTTTCTCAATTCATTAAAGGTCTTTCCTTTTGTCAACTGGCACTGATGACCAAGAATATAACAACCTGGAGGTTCAAAAAAAAATAATAATAATAATAATTTTAAAAAAAATTTTAAAAAAAGATAAAAATTTAATAACCACAGGGAGCCCATTCACAGGCGTATGATATAACACAGCAAGCCCAATTGTTTTCAGATTTTAACTTACCGTGAAATTGGAAGACCGTTTGGGAGGGACCATGGAACCCATCTACGGGGAGTTTTCTTGCACCGATTCTCTTTTCTACATCATTGACTTGGTGTCGAATTGGAATACCACGTGTTTCAGCCTCCCACTCTAACCACTCAGACACCATCTTGACAGAACTTTCTTTCTGGAAGCCAGTCTCTTCTCTTCTCCTCGTAAACGAACCTGTCGGTTGATCAGCCATTATACATCCAAGATAAAGCGCATTAGCATCAAGGCCAACGATCTTCTGGCAAGTTTTGGGTTCGATTCCCTTTGCTCTCATCTCCACCTCACGAATCTTGGTTTTCCCCGCTTCGTGGTACCGATGGAAGATGATGCTTGGCCCTCCAACCATGTTCTTCTTGAATAGGTAGTAAAGATCCTTATTCTTCTCATCGAAGAGGGAGAAGAAGATGTCTGGTTCCAGGGTCATGAAGAGATAGGTCAGGGTGATACCAGGAATGGAGATACCTTGCCTCAACATGTCAATATTTTTTCTCTCCAGAAAGCATACATCTTCTCCAAAGCCTCGCAGAAGGGTTGAACATCCAAGTTGTTATACCAGACCAGGAAGTCACGAAATCGTTCCATACCATTCTCTTGCCAGACTCGTTGACAGTATTGGTACTTCTCATGGGAGATATTCTTGTTTTTCAGGGAAGAGAAGAAGGCTTCATGTGGGGGGAGGGTAGGGTAGTCCAGTTTGTCCATGGAATCCATCCACTCGTAAGGAAAATAACCTAGAAAGATGCAAAATCTCTTTAGATTGAAAGAAAAATAATCCACTCCGGTAGTAGATTAAACTTTGAAACTGACCTTTAGTAGCTGGGCATTCATAAGCCTTGAGAAACTTCTTGTAGCTGAATCCTGGAGCGAGGAAGTTCGTGACATCTAGGAACTTGAGATGTTCAGTCTTTAAGCACATAAAGTTGTTGTTCCGCTTGACAGCAAACTTGACTTGCTCTCGTTCCGTCAGGACAGGAAACAGAAACTCTTTGGTGSCGTTCAAATCGTATTTCCCCGAGTTGAACCCAACGACTGGTAGTTCTTTTAAATATTCCTCCAGTTTTTCCTACGAAAACAATGAAAACAAAGATCGAGTATAAATACAAAAAATTTCAACATTGTATAATTATAGTCTAGAATTACCTTCAGTCCCAGCAGAGGGTGTTTTCTCTTCTTTTCTTTGGGTAGATTCTCTCTTAGGTTTGGTTCTACCAGCTCTCCAAGTTCTTGGTTTAATGCCCGGTAGAAATTCAGGTCTGGTTCGCTGTCATCATCATCATCATTAATAAAAGCCCGGTCCTCTTCATTTTCGGATTCAATCTCTTCATCATCCTCATCCTCGCTATTCATCAAGTCAATTCCTCGTTCATCCTCGCTCTCTTCTTCTTCCGGGCTTTCTTGTTCAGTTTGGACTTCCTCTGGACTGCAGACGGTACTCAACTTTTCTCCAATGGCTCTCAATATATCACGGAACTGTTCTTTCACAAACCTATTACTTTCTTGACTGATGGTTACAAGGTACTCCACCATGGTATTCACTAACGACTTGGGATCTCCTTCACTGACAAAGCATTCAGGTAGGTCAAACCCAGGAACATTGGAACACACACTTACGCTCAGCGGCACGTGCTTGGCTTCCCATTCCAGTTTCTCGGACTTTTTAGGATGGTCTTCACGGTCAAGTAAACACTCGAAGTCATAGGTGGCGCGGTACGGAAAGAAGCGGAGGTCTACTGGGATGATAATACCTTCATCTTCTAAAAGGTCAAATATGGTCTTGGGAGTCTTGTAGCTACCCCCAGGAAACTGGTAGTGCACTTTAGCTTCACAGGTCAGTTAGTGACGGTTCATCATGCCAGCGTGCTTCCAGTACTCTCCACAGCGCGAACATTGGTAACTCTTGGAGTACCGGGGTAGACTCTTGATATAACTGAAATGGTCTCGGTACAGATTAAGGTACATCGTACTGGGGAAGTGACAGGGGGACCGGCGGATTAAGCGTGCGGTTATTTCCGCTTGGTCTTCTTCATCAGCAGAATCTGGTTATTCGTCACCTTCTTCTCCTTCAGGTCTCGATGGCTCCAAAGCATACACAGCAATATTAACCTGGAACAATTTCTCYAGCTCTGGTAAATCTTTAAGCTCCACACCATCAAAGTCGTTGGGAYCAGTATTACAAAATCTAAGAGAAAAATAAAAAAATAAAAGTAATAGTCAATATTCAACAAACCTCTTACTCTGAATAGCCTTCTGAAATTTTTACGTCACGAAAGTCTTGTGCAAAGAATTATGGGATACGCTCGGGGTAAACAAACAAAATGGGGGAGTGTCTCGTAAAATTTTTACCGGAGGATGTTCCAGGGGCATTTTTACCTTGCCCTTTGTTAGAAGATAACACCTTTGAAGACCTCAAACGATACGTGGAGACCAGAGGCTTTACAGTGGGAAAGCAAGAGTCAAAAGTGAAGCTTCTTAAAAGGTAAGTGTTGATGAATTGAGCGATATTTCGCGGGATGTTTTGAGTTTTTCAAGACTTTAMTATATTTATATAGTATAAGGCTAATACTTCGTCTAGCCGTATTAAAAATGAACCTGAAATGATCTAGTTAGCAAAGTAGAAGCAATAAGCAAAAAACSTTGTTAAAGACAGGAAAAATRGGTATATTTTAATTTCCGTGAGAACTAACTAGAAGCTTGTACCTTTGACGAAAGAAAGACGCAGCTAGTCTGCTTTCGTGTAAAACACTGCCATAACATTGTCTATTAACCACTTGTCGTTGATTTAGCGTTAATAAATTGCGTTTTTTTYGTAACTCAGATGATTTATAAACAACGCATACAGTGTTACCGAAAGAAGACTCAGTCATGGTCATGATTTTCTATTGTGTTTGGCCTTATGAACATTAATGATTTTGATAATAATACTGCAATATGCTGGAATTTCTAGGTAAACACCAAATCAAAAATCACACATTTGGAAGGGAAGTCAAAAGACAGAGACCTCTACTAGAATATGCAAGTCACAATACTGTACAAGATCCTACAGTGGATTTCAAATACTTAAAGGAAAATATCAATGATGTACCACATAAAATGGCTATTGAACAGCTATTCATGACATCCCCAAGCAGCTCAAGCCAATCACAAGAAAGTGTCATGGATGGTGAAAATCTAAAACCAGAGGAAATCATTATGAAGGAATTAAAAGTAAAGCAGAACATTCATAGTATCACTCTTCTTTTTATTTTTGGTATAGATATTCTTTTAATAACTAAATGATCATAAAATAACTTAGTCAATGTTTCATCGAATTGAAGTTTATGTAGAGTTTATAAAATTACATGATTGTCATGGATGATAATATAGATTATTTTAATATGATCATAATTTATTTACAGCACCTTAGTATTATATTTCATAATAGTATACCTATGCTTGTTCTTCAGAACATATTTGGAGGCTATATTTTATTTTCTTTCTTAGGTGACAGTAGAAGACAGAATAAGAATAGAGAAATATACTAGAGGTCAAAGTGAAAGTCTTAGATGGTATAGAGAAAGCAAAGGCAGAATTACAGCAAGCATTGCAAAAAGTTGTTGTTCTAAAGGGAACCCTGCTGCCACTGTAAAAAATATCTTAACAGTTGGTAAACCAGGTAGAGGGCCTAATTCACCACATATTAAGTATGGTATCGAAAATGAAGTTCAGAAATTCAATTTACAAATAAATGCTGATGGTTGCCACTGCAGTATTTGTAAATGTGGACTGTTTATTGAAGAAGAAACAGGTGTACTAGCTGCTACACCAGATAGGCTAGCAACCATAGATGGAGAAGAAGTGGTCGTAGAGGTGAAATGTCTATCTGCAAGCAGAGATCTACCACCACTTGCTGCGGTTACTGCAAGAGAGAAAGATAGCAACTTTGGATTTAAATTAGATAAAGGTCAAATTGTTCTGAARAAAAAGCATAAATTTTTCAATCAAGTACAAATGCAGATGGCATTAACTAATAGGCTTAACTCTTATTTTGTAATATTTACAAAAATGATAAATTCAATGTTGACATGGTAAAATTTGATGAGCTGCAGTTTTGGAAGGAAACAAAAGAGCAGCTGCTAAGTTTCCATGCTAGACATGTTGTACCTACTCTTGTACGCCAGAGATTCAGATAGATATTCCTAAATATAATTTTGTGATCATTATATTTAAATAAATATAATTAT